CCCTGGACCCCAGGAGGCTGGTTGAGGTCCAAGTCGAGTTAAATGAGAGAGGAAGGTAGGCACATGGGGAGGGGGTACCATATATTTATAGAATGATTTCAATATAGTGGGTCATCAATATAATACATTTGCTCGCACGCTTGCTTCCGTATTTATGTATGTTCTTGCCTTGCTGCACTGCTGGCTTGTCTGCTTGATTGCTTGTTTGCGTACTTTGCCTACCTGCTTACTGAGCCATGTGCACGGACACGTGGGACCCTCATCGAAGCCATATAGAACCCCATCGAAACCTCATGGACCCCTTATTATAGAACCCTGATAGAACCTAACAGAAACCTTTGCAGGCCCCTTTGCATGTCGCCCTTGCTCGGCCCCCTCTTTGGGTTCGCTTTTGGGCCCACCCTAGAAACCCTAAACCCTGAACGAGGTCCGTCCTCCGCCTCATAAACCCTCAACCCTAATTCGATATCTTTGCTCCCTAAACCCGAAACTACGTCCGCCTTTATAGGAACCGTTCAAGGCACCCCTAAAGGAACGCCTTTATAGGGCCCCCTTCAAGACCCTAAACTCTATTTAAACCCTACACCCTTAACCCTAAACCCTACACCTTAAATCCTAAACCCAACACCCTACACCCTGAACCCGACACCCTAAACCCGACACCCCTTACACCCTACACCCTACAACCTAAACCCTGAACCCTACACCCTAAGCCCTACACCCTACACCCTAAACCCTGCACCCTAAACCCTGCGCCCCAAACCCTACACCCTAAACCCTGCACCCTAAACCCTGCACCCCAAACCCTACACCCTAAACCCTACACCCTAAACCCTGCACCCTAAACCCTAAACCCTACACCCTAAACCCTGCACCCTAAAGCCTGCACCCCAAACCCTACACCCTAAACCCTACACCCTAAACCCTGCACCCTAAACCCTGCTCCCCAAACCCTGCACCCCAAACCCTACACCCTAAACCCTACACCCTAAACCCTACACCCTAAACCCTGCACCCTAAACCCTACACCCTAAACCCTACACCCTAACCCTACACCCTAAACCCTACACCCTAAACCCTGAACCGCCCCTATGAAAAGCCACGCCTCCTCGTCCCGCTGCAACTCTGCCTCGACCAACTCGAGCCTCAGATCTCCGGAGAGTTTTCGAAGAGTTTAAGGGCTCTTAGGGTTTTTTTGGTTTGGGATTTTAGGGCTTGGGGTTGTATGTGTTTGAGGGTTTGAGGGTTTGGGGTTTTTAGGGGCCAGGGTTTTAGGGTTTAGGGTTTTAGGCTTTGGGGTTTACCCCGAATGGCCTACCTGTTTAAAGACAGAACATAAGGGAATCACAGTAAGGAACCCTAAACAAGGAGGTTCTTTGGGGTTAAGGTAAGCTTAGGCCCCAGCGCTCAGGAAAGATGAGGTTGAATCCCAAAATCGGCGACGCAATGCTAGACCCAGAAACCTCAAAGCCCAAGCCATCACACCCTCAGCGCTAGGAAGCAATGTACCTGAAAAAAGACTGTGGCCCCACAAGACTGATACCTTGGCCATGTTTAAGCTACCTTGGTTACTCTAGGTCCTTACGATCCCGACACCTTCAAGAATATATTCTACATCATACATATATGTATGTGTATATATATATATATGTTATCGTATACATACATAACCATGTACATATACATACATCTGTATATACACACACATAAACATATATATATATATANNTGTAATGTAATGTAATGTATTGTATTGTATTGTATTGTATTGTATTGTATTGTATTGTACTGTATTGTATTGTATTGTATTGTATTGTATTGTATTGTATTGTATTGTATTGTATTGTATATAGTTTATATATATATATGCGTGTGTGTGTGTGTGAGTCTGTGTATAAACATAATTATAGTCCCCCTAAACCTATACGCCAATGGAGACCCAAAATCTTGAATCCTCAACTCTCAGGGCCTCTCCTCCACCCTGAACCCGAAACCCGAAACCCTGAACCCTGAACCCCAAACCCTAAACCCCAAACCCTAAACCCTAAACCCTAAACCCTGAACCCTAAACCCTCAAACATAAACCTTGAACCCAAAACCCTAAACCCTCGAGGTTTCCGACCCCCCTGCGCAGAATGCAGGGCCAACTCTAGGAGCCCGGCTTCAGCTCTTCCACTTTCTCCTGCTTGAGGTTTACTTGGAGGTTCATGTTTAGGGTTTAGGGTTTAGGGTTTAGGGTTTGAAGATTCATGTAGAGAGGTTTCCTTTAAAGGTACTATGGCGTATAGGGTTTAGGGTTAAGGGCCTCAGATTTTGGGTTTGGGGTGGTTCATGTAAGGTTCCTTTAAAGGTACTAATCAAAGGGTATAGGGTTTAGGTCTGAAGGTTTAGGCATAAGATTTAGGGTTTAGGGTTTAGGGTTTAGGGTTTAGGGTTTAGGGTTTAGGGTTTAGGGTTTAGGGTTTAGGGCAGTTATAGGTGGAGTTATAAGTCTCCTAATATGGCTTATGATTACAGTTACCCTACTTGTAATTGTAACCTCACTCATAACTACCCATGAACCTCCAAGTAGGGCGCGTTTTAGGGTTTCGGGTGTCGGATTTGAGTTTTCAGATACAGGGTTTTAGGCATGGGGCTTAAGGTTTAGGTTCTAAGGGATCCAGGTAGAGACGAAGGTGGGTTTCGGTGGTGCTAACAGTGGTGGTGGCGGCGGTGGAGCAAGCCACAGACGTGTCTCCCGTCCACGGCGAGCTCCAACCCGAAACCCTACACCGTGAACCCTAAACCCTGAACCCTGAAACCTTAAACCCTTAGACCCTAACTCCAAATCAGATGGACCCTAATTTCAAGCTCTCCCCAGCTGCACTCCTCCCCTACTGTAAGGGCATGAATACATAACCAGAATGGGGTTTGGGGGTAGTTTATACTATAATGACAATAAGGAACCCCCGAAATGGTATTGGCAATTGTTTAGGCTTTATATTACTTTCTCCCATGGCATGCCTAAACTCCACATGCAATACGTTTTGGGGGTTCGGGGCTTAAAATTTGGCCTACATTCCGAACCCTATACACCCGAAGGACCTCATATACCCCGCCCGAGTGAAACCCTATGTAATAAGGCTTGCAGAACCTTACTCAAAGGGTCCAAGTAGCTAACAGACGATCACGCGCACATGCTCTTCAAAACTGCTCCCTAGCGCAAGCGCCTACTTCTTAGGTTCTTGCCTCCAAACACCTGTATTTAAAGCCCTGTAGTGTAGAAAAATGCAGATCCCTTTACCCCTGCAGAACCTCAAACCCTAAACACCAAACCCTAAACCCTAAACCCGCAGCCCTAAACCCAAACCTTATAAATCCTAAACCCTAAACCCAAACCCCTGAACCAAAAACCCTAGAACCTTACTGTCTTGCTCCGCCCAGATCTGTGCCTCGGCCATGAGACGCGAGAGTGTTGCTGCCTCCAGCTTTTCGGCGAGCACCGCCTGCTCTGGGGCTCTGAGGATATACTGTAGGGGCCTCAATAATTAGAATAGGGTCGTCTGGGGGTCCTTTATAGTGAATCCCAGAACTTTGGATCATGGATTTAGGATGATTAGTGCTGGGATCCCCTTTGCTTTACATTAAGAGCATGAGGATAAGACTGTTCCAACTTTTTGGCTTCTGCTTTATAGTATAGTTATCATCAGGAACCCCCAAAATAATATAGGTAACTATTGAGGCCCCTACATTACCTTAAACTACCAAAACCTACTTTGTTGTAGGATCCTATTATAAGCCCTAACATGGGCTGTATAGGGACCCTACAAAAAGATGGGTTTGGTGCGCCAAGGTAGGTTTATAGGGCTTTTAGGGTTTGTTTATCAGGCCTGCAGGGTTCTTGTAGGGTATGCAGGGTATAGGTTTAGAGTTTAGGGTTCATGGGTCAAGGGTTTCGGGTTCATGGGTTATGGGTTTAGGAATCAGGAGTTGCCCAAGGGTTTATGCAAGGAATTTAAGGGTTCGATAAGCTCGGATTCTATTAGGGGGTTTAGTCGAGGGCTAGGGTTCATGAAATCAAGAGTTCTACTCGGGTTCCGTCATGATCCGCAAAGCAGTTGGAGGAACATTGTGCGCTGCTTGTTTTGGATGGAGGGGAGAGGGGGCGCGGGGCTTTAGGGTTTGCCAAACGAAAGCTTTGCCTGGGGTAGATCCAAGATTCTAGCCATCGTCGATTTTGAGCTCCACCAGGAGACTGCTTCGTCGGCTCTGATTGGCTTTGAGCTCGGCTTTGTCGCACATGTCTAAGATTAGGTTGCCATGAATAAGGTACCCGAATACATGGGGGCAGGGCAGAAGGTTTAGAAATGGACGTTTCCCAACACCATAAACCCTTTTGCATGGCTCGGGGAGGACTTTGTGTGGTCCAGGAGCTACGCCCTCTGTGAGTTCGGGACACGGAGCCAGAAGCAGGGTTAAAAAGGGTCCCCTGTAATGTATCTCCCTTATACAACCTACCAGGGGCTTGTGTGTCGGGCTTGCAACCGATTCCTCTTGCACTAGTGCTGTGGAGATTTATGTAGTACTCCTCCGACCAACCTTGTGCAGAGGAGACCCCAAAACCGAAATCCTAAACCCTGGACTCCAGACCCTAGTTAAGGTTGAGGGTCCTATAGACCCCAACCCCAAGAATCAAGCCTGCACCGGAGACGAAGACCAGACTTTCCTACCGTCCCAAACAAAATCTCAGAGTCTTACCGTCTTACCTGAAAGCTACTCTCTGCCTGAACTCTAAAAATTTTCTGGTATAGGCGTCAGGGCCCCAGGCACTTCTAGTCTATAGTAGAAGTCCAAAAGTTAGTTGGAAACCCGATAGCCTCAATCCTTAAGAGTAATGTATAGGGAATCCCAGAACTATTTGTCCTTAATCCGGTTTCCAACTTTTTGGGGTTTACTGTAAGATGATACTCTCGTCATGCCGCCCCTCAGCAGTTTTACTCCCGCAAGTCGATTGTCGGCACTGTCACCGCCGCCAGGTCGCTGCCGCTGCCTTCATTTTAAGAGACAGGGCTGCTAAGGTGCTTTTGTGGGTACCCAGGGGCTCCAATGTAGTTCCTTTTTGGGTCTGATATGGTTTTTGGTAAGGAATTATAGCATACTATCCAAAAAGGAACTACTTAGGAGCCCTTGGGTAATGCATGGGCAGGGTGTTTGAAGGCCGTTTTGGACGGTGTTGCACGTGGCCGATGCACATCGAGTTGATTGCTCCATAAGCCCGCGCATGATGGATACCACGTGACTTGCGGTGACTCTCATAATCCCAAAGCCATCCAGAAATCCCGAAACCTGCAGGCATTGAGCCCCAAACCCTGAACCCCAATCACAATCCAACCCCAGTCCAGCCTGAAGCCGTCGCAAGCTCAGGCGGGCTTTCGGCCTCGACTGCGTCGTCGATGAGATCTTGGTTGTCAGCCCGGACAGTGCCGGGGGCATTTCAGGGGGATATAGATCTGAAAGGGTAGTTCTACCCCAGACCTGACCTGCTAAAATATTGCTGTTTGTCGGGTTTCTACCAACATTTAAAAAAACACAGGAAGCAGATTTTCGAACCCTGCAAATCGGCAAAGAGACAGGTTTGCGCCCACGTCTCACAAGTAGGCTTGGGATTAGAGCTCGAATGACAACGGCTTCGGAAAGCTGACATGCTTCGGGCTGTTTAGAGCTTGCTGGTGGGTGATACTAGTATTCTGAGATGATCGTTATTCTTATTAGTATCACGCTAAATGGCTAAATACAGGGGTCCTAATAGTTAGAAAAGGGTTTTGGGGTGTAGGATACTGTAATCTGAATAAGGAGCCCCCCAAAATTGGTAATCATCTAGGTGCCTACGTTATTGCTACTGGTAATATGCGTATCTCCAAGTGCAGGATTCGAGGCTAAGGGTCCCGGGCGTGTTGAAAAACATTCACTCTAAGGGTCCAAAGGACCTGATAATCATGTACTTGGGTTACGGATAGTAGTTTTGTAGGTTAGTATTCAGAAGAGTATAGGTACTTGGACCCTTAGGACCCTAAACCCTAAACCCTAAACCCTAAACCGTGCCTTAGGTTCATTCCTCCGGGGTGGCGAGCCTTGAAGGGTTTAGGCGGGATTTAGGGCCTACTGCCGCAGACCTTAAATCCGAAACTCTGAAAGCCCTGAACCCACAACCCTAAACCCGCAAACCCCTAAACTCTGAAAGCACTGAACCCAAAACCCTAAACCCACAACCCCTAAACCCTGAAAGCGCTGAACCTAAAACCCTAAACCCGAAACCCCCAAACCCCTAAACTCTGAAAGCCCTGATCCCAAAACGGTAGGGTCTGCGCTTTAGTCGGGTTGGTAGAGTCAAGCAAGGTAGCATCTCCGATGGTTTGGGGTGTAGGTTTTAGGGTTTAGGGTTATAGGGTCTTTAAGGCCTTTAGGTCGGAGCCTAGGGCGTAGGTGTTGTGGCATCATTTCAACGACCGTGACTCCCAACCCCAATAAACCCTTGTACAATCCGCCTTCCTCCGGTAATTCATACGGAGGTTCATGGCTAGTTATCAGTGGGGTTATAAGTAGGGTAACTATAATTATAACCAATTAGGGGACTTATAACTCCACTTCTAACTACCCATGAACCTCCAAGTGGACATATCCCCGCGGCCTTTCTGTAACAATCGTTCGTGTGGTTGGCAGGAGGATAAGAGACCCTGCTGAAGAGTCAGCCAAGCCACCCACAACTAAAGGCGGCGGTGCCGTGGCCGCTGCTGCAACATCTGATGGTGCAGCGGTGATTTTGTTGCTTTCGAGAGTGGTGATGATTCTGTTGCTTTCGAGAGTGGTGATGGTAGGCCGGAGTAGTCGCAACTCGAGTGAGTCTGTCGTCGTCGGCAGCATCCTCGTCGTCGTTGTGATCGGGAGGACAAAATTGTAGCCATTGTTGACATCCCTGTGATCCTTCCATATCCTTCCGTCTGACACGACTGCTACGAGGAAGGCAGGAAGGAAGAAGAGCAGCAGGCGGGAAATAACAGATGCATTTCAACCATCGAGTTTGGAGTGTAGACAGTGTTGACATCTGCATCGAAGGTGCTTCTCAATCTACTGCATCTACGTGCTATCACCTCGACTGTGGAAGTGAGCACTACAACGGCGACTCTCGGAAATCAGAGTTCTGGAGGGTTTAGGGTTTAGGGTTTGGAGTGCGGATCAGTCCTGCTGACAGGATCACAGTTCATGGCTGGCAGAAGCTGTCTCAGGACCATGAACCCTAAACCTGAAAAAAACTTCCAGACCTGAAACATAAACCCCAACCAGTAAACCCCCAACCCTAAAGACTAGTAGGTTATGACCCTTTAATTATAGGGCATTGCCCTCAAACCAGAATGTAATTGGAGCCACAGGAACACCTTCAAGCTCCTAATGAGGCAGCCTGCGCCGGGAAGACTCTTCGGCTGTGGTTGAAGCCACGAAGACAACGCGCTGCTTGAGCGCCTCCGGCTACATGCGTATCCTTAGGGCTCCAGTTACCTAAACAGTAGGTTACTATTACGGTTAGGCTTCAGGGTTTGAGGTTCAGGGTTTAGGGTTTAGGGGAGTATGTAGCCCAGTAACCCAGTACTTAGGTAACTGGAGCCCTACGGTATAGCAAAGGAAGGCTTTAAGGCAGGGATAACTCAGGCAGAGTTGTGATTCAACTGCGGCTCCTGGTCCAGGTTACTAACCCTCGAAACCTTAGGTTCGAAGCTTCATTCAGAATGTATTTCAGTTGGGCTCTGGTTTAAGGGTCAAGGGTTTAGGGTTTAGGGGTTTAAGGTTTGTTGTTGGGTCATTCGTCATGCACCAGGGCCCTTGACGGGACGGATGCAGCAAACAGTCTGAACGATGAGCCCGCTACCTCTGATTCTCGTATACTAGACCGTAGCTAGCTGAAACACCCTAAATCCCAAACCCCTTGCCCAAAGCCCTCCTAAAACTCTGCTTATAGCACCCCTTGTAGGCCCGCATAGTAACTTATCCAGGCATACTACTACACCCAACGAAACAGAACGAAACTCTGCAACAACACTTTATAACAAAGCTTACAAGCCCTGACAGCACATGTTGAATTGCTAGACAAATCCTCAAAGAAACTTCCCAACACCTCTCTGTAACACGCCTATCAAGCGCTATAGTATACAAAACCTTACATGCTTCCATCCGTGTTAAGAAAACCCTAAACCCTAAACCCTAAACCCTAAACCCTAAACCCTGAACCCTGAACCCTAAACCCGAAGCCTGTCACTGCGCCAGGTTTGAAGCCCAGCAGCAAAGGCCTGGCATGCGGCCAGACTACACGGAACTCGGGACTTTAGCTTGCGGGCCTGTGGATGTTTTCTTTTTATTGTAGTGTTTAGGGTTTCGGGGGTGTTTTTGGTCGATTTTACATGGGCAGTTGATATTTCACGGCGTTGAAGTTTTGGTGTGGGGATCAGGTTTATCTTGTGGCTGAACGGCTGAAAATGGATGGAACCAGCATCAGGCCTAGGACAGAACCCCTAATTGATACCATTTCCCCAGTGTAGCGTCATCGTATTGACAAGATCACTATCCCAGGAGGTCCATATACTACCATTACGGAATTGGGTCGCGAAAGAGGGGACCCAGTTGACCCAGTGCCATAGTGGAAGTAAGTACGGACAGTCTAAGCATCCCCATAAAGTGTCTTCCTTATATAGGGCCCCAAATAAAACACATAAGCAAAAATTAGGATAGGGATATCCCATATAAATCCCCTTATAATGAAGCCCAATAAGGTAGGGATATCCCCATAAAATGCTTATGCTTATGTCCTTTTTGGGTTCCTAATTATAACGCAGAGCAGGTTTGGAATTCAGGAGTTTACAGTGTTAGCCAATGCATCGAAAGGTAGATTCCGCAACACAGCCCTTCAATTAGGGTTTAGGGTTTAGGGTGATTCAATGCCACCAGACTGCAGCCAGTCGTAGGCCATAGTGGTTTAGGGTTTAGGGCAGGGGTCAAGGTGTAGGGTTCGGTATAGCTAAACCCCGAACCCCTAAACCCCAAGCATTCCCAGAGAGCCCATTACTCCTTAATTAAGGAATATACCTTAAATCATAGGGGCCTTAATATCGTTTAAGGTATATTCCTTAATTAAGGGGTATTGGGCTCTCTGGGTTCAGCCTTTCAAGGACTTCCCAAAACAAACAAAGCACGAGAGTCGGACCCGGAAAGCCCGAAACACAGGACAGTAAACTCCCACATGCCAAAGAACCATCGACGCTACGTCCCCCCACCTGGAAACTCAACATCACAACTGCCGAAATGGGGGTTTCCGAAAATAGGGGACCCTAACATAGTACCCCAAACCAGGGTTGCGGGTTCTTTGGGTGTAGACCCTAAACCCTAAACCCATAAATAGAAACCCTAAACTCCTAAACCCTAAACGCTAAAACCCTAAACCCTAAACCCTAAACCCTAAACCCTAAACTTGGCGCAGGTGCTTCGCCAGTCAGCGTTCACACTCCAGTCTTCTTAAACATCCAGCGCACTGAAGGCTCCTATAGGGTTTAGGGTTTAGGGTTTTAGCGTTCAGGGTTGTAGGGTTTAGGGTTTTAGGGTTTAGGGTTTTGCGTTTAGGGTTTTAGGGTTTAGGGTTTTAGGGTTTAGGGTTTTAGGGTTTAGGGTTTTAGGGGTTAGGTTTCAGGGGTTTAGGGTTTCTAGACCGTCGGGGTAGTTTACATTGCCCAGATTACAGTGTGGAAGTATGTGCACGTAAAGCCCTAACTCAACCATGAAAGGACGATGGTTTTGGATCAGAACCCCAAGGGTCCAAAGGACCCAATACTCAGGTACTTAGGTTTCGGATAGTAGTTATGTAGGTTACTATTTGGGAGAGTGTACGACTATTAGGTACTTAAGTGGACCCTTAGGGAGAAGGCCTACCATAAATGGAAGCACCCAGACCCAGAGTCTCCGAAACTCTGCACAACTTTACATGGAGGTTCATGGGTAGGGTTTAGGGTTTAGGGTTTAGGGTTTAGGTAGTTATAAGTGGGGCTATAAGTAGGGTAACTAAAATCATATCCCACATTAGGGGACTTGGAACTCCACTTCGAACTAACCATGAACCTCCAAGCAATGCGAAAGCACTGACTTCACAACGGCTGTACTGTTTAGGGCTTACTACGGTGTAGTCGTTAGCGTAGACTACGCTAGTCACGGTAGTCCGAAGCCTATCCTTCATCGTACATGCAAAGCTACCTTGTATGTGAGGCCCTCCAGCGACGAGACCTCCAGGGAAGGTTGCTCCAGGTTGGTTCATTGGTTTAGGATGCTCTTGGCGGTTGTGGGGGCTACTCTGGCGGCGGAGGAGTTGGCTAGGGCTGGACGGCTTTGCGAGAGACAGGCGACCCGTAGATGCGCAAGCTTGTTGTGCTTCGTTGTTAGCGAACAAAATAATGAGGTCTGCGACGGTGTTGCTGAGGATGATGACGGGCATTTTGGAGACGTGGTTGTTGATGATGAGGAGGAGGAGGACGGGCGAAGCAGGAGGAGGAGGAGCAGGAGGAGGAGGAGCAGGCGTTCAAATGATGTTGATGCTGCTGATTTTGAAGACATGAAACGATGACGATGATGATGATGCCGATGAAGAAGAACATGACAAATATGATAAATAAGAAGATGATCATGCCGATGATGCACTGACAAGATGATGCTTGATCAGAAGATCATGTTCAGGGTGCGAGTGCTGACAGTTTAGAGTTTGGGGTTGCGAGCATACTTCGGGGTGGTGAAGCATCCATCGTTCGACACTAAGATCGCAGCGCAAAGTCCACAAGCCCGAAAGCTTAAACCATGCACCCTAAAATCTTAAACCCTAAACCCATAAATACTCTCACACCTTAAACCTGAAACCCAAAACCCTGAACCTGGAGACCGCAGAAATTGAATTTGAAAAGTGAATTGGGAGTTAGGATAAGGGGAACCCTTGGGGATATAGACCCTCTGAATAAAGTCCCTTTTGAAAGAGCCAAAAGTAGGGTTCGGAAAGGGTATCCTTTAAGGGGTACCCCCAATAATACTACCTATGAACCCAAAATGCCCGGCAGCCTGATAGGCACTGATCCCAAGCTTTTGTGCGACCTCGTCCGTTGTGTCAATGCGCGGACGGCTTGAAAGACTTAACACTAGTATTGGTAATCGTATATATATATATATGTTATATGCACAAAGTATTATTACCATGTCTTCTGCGTATCATTAGTACGAGTGCCATTATCAACTTATTGATTGTTTAATCTTGCTTCGAATCCTAGCTAGGGCCGTAGGGCTCCGGACTAGAGCTGCGGGGAAACCTCCCTAGGCGCCGAAACCTAAACCCCGGCCCCAACCTTAACAACTAAACTCAGAACCCAAATGGCTCTATCCCAAGAAAAAGACGCTAAACCCTAAGCCCCACTTGGAGGTTCATGGGTAATTGAGGCTATAAGTAGGGTAACTGTGATTACAACCCATCTAAGGGGACTTATAACGCCACTTATAACTGCCCATGAACCTCCAAGTAAACCTAATGAAGTGTTGACCAAGACCGGGGCTGGAGGCTGTGGGCTTCACAGTGCACAGTGCAGGATTTATGCGGAGTGTCGGTTCCGCTTTACACTCGAAGCTTTAAGGTGGAGGGTTGGGCTTTATCGGGATTAAGCTTGGCGTTTCGGGGCCCTCAACTCCGAAAAACCCGAAGCCCTGAAAGGGCCAAAGCACGCGGACATTCATCGCACGGTCGTCGAAAAAGAGCATCTCCCGAAACTCGATACCTGCCCAGGTTTAAATTTGTAAGGTTTAGGGTTCTGCATGAAGCACCCCGCCTAAACCCTATAGACCGTAAAACCTGAACCTTACCCTTAAACATCACTTGTATTAAGAGATCTCGAACCCTGAAGTGCGAAATCGCACGGCTTCGTGACTTCCAGAGTTTGGAACCCAAGGGTTAATGTAGGGGCCTTGATAATTAGAATAGGGTTTTTGGCTCCTTGATAGTACAATTATAAAAAGAAACCTGAGGAACAGTATTGGTATCTATTTAAGCTTCTGTAGCAGTGACTTGGGTTTAGGATTTGGCGTTACTGGCTTATGCAGCTCTGAGTCTCGAAGACATCCGGAAATCCAGCGCCAAAACAAGTAAACGCAGTCGATCGGCGTGCATTGTTTCACAGAGCCATACATATACACTACATACACAGGTGTATATGCATATGATATGCGTGTATATATCTATCTATCTATCTACCTATCTATCTATCTATCTACCTATCTATCTATCTATCTATCTATCTATCTATCTATCTATCTATCTACCTATATATATATATATATGTATACACACTAATTTATGTATATAGCTATATGTGTCTCTATGTATATATATATATATATATATATATGTACCCGATACAAACGTATAGCTACATGTATAGATATAGGTATACATATGCAGATATGTAGGTATCAAGTATGCAGATAAGCACATGCAGGTGCGGATGCGGATATAGATGTAGATATAAGTATAGTTATATAGCGATGAATGAAGAGATGTACCTATACATACATACATACATACATACATACATACATACATGCATGCATGCATGCATGCATGCATGCATGCATGCATGCATACATATGTACATATATATATATATATATGCATACATATGTATGTAGACCGATATGTACATGTTTCTTAAAATTACATACACACACCCACATCTACACATAAAAGCATATATGTACTTGCCCATAATAATAGATAATAACAATAATATATATATATATATATGTAGCTACACATTATACAGTGCACGAAAAGATCCATGAGTGCGTCCGTGTGTAAGTAGCTCGTCATAGCCAGTTTCTCGGTGTTACACGCGTACGTAAGATACGGAAAGTCTGCACCTCCGACTAGGTTCGAGTGCTGAAGGTCTTCAATGTGGGTAGTTCTCGAAATTAGGGTCCCTTTTAAGGTCCTTTTTACAAGGTGCCGTACCATATTGGGGACCTAAAAAGAGGGACCCTGATTTTCAAAACTACCCATGTGATACGGCCCCACATTCCAAGCATCTTTGCTCCTAGTGCTCCGTGACGACTACCCAAGGTCTCCTAAGTAGTTCCTTTTTGGATAGTATACTATAATTCCTTACCAAAAAACCACAACAGACCCAAAAAGGAACTACATTGGAGCCCCTGGGTAAGCCTAATGTCGGCACTTGAGGAGTCTTTGCACCTACAGCGGGTCTTGCCTTTGAACATGGGTGTAGGGTTTAGGGTTTAGTGTTTAGGGTTTAGGGGAATATGGTGTCGGCATGGACAGCGGAAGCTAACTAGCGGAGTATATACGAAGTACTAAGGGTGAAGGAGCATGAGCATCATCTACTCCCCGAAAAACCAGGGCACACTTACCCTTGTCCAAACCCAATCACCAGGTTTAATAACTACTGGGTTTATACGGAGAACCCAAATCTCTGTATCGTCACGGCCGGAAAGCTGCATAAAACAATGGCGAGCTTAGAAACGGAAGGTCTTTAGGTTTGGGGAATACCCGAACCCTAGAACAACCACATGTGTAGGGGTCCTCACTCTGACTTAACCATACTTTGTACTGTTCCTTGTAGGTTTGGTAAGGGTAAAGGTTCAGGGTTTAGGGCTCCTTCTTATGATTTGCCTCTATGGCTCCTTTCATAAGGTCCGTTGCTATAGGGTTTAAGTTGAAGGTAAGGTTTATGATGGTTCACAGAGCGTGGTTCTTTGAACGGAGGGAAGCGTCCAAGGGACTGGAAATCTACAGGTACCCTTGGCCGGTGAGCCACTTCACTTAGGCATTCCAAGGGTTTTAGGGCCCTGTAGGGTTGGGGTTTAGGGGTTTAGCCCTTCAAGGGTTTTAGGGTTTACTCGCCCAGGCCTGTTCTTTGAGCGAGTTCGTTCAAGTGCACGGTCTTGCTTCCTGGGTGGATGACCTGAGGCTGCCACGAGGAATACAGGGTTCAGGATTTAGGTTTAGGTTTAGGGTGCCGGGATGAAGCAACACAGGCAAAACCCTAAACCATAAACCCCAAACCGCAAGAACATGAGTCTTAGTACGTCTGCATGGTATCTGCAACCTCAGGACACTCAACCCTGAATACTAAGCTCTTCAGAAGCAAACCCTACCGCTTAAGCTTGTTGGCAGCGCTAAACTTCGAGGCAAAGACGGCAAGCCTCCTGAAATCCTCTACCCTAAGCCGTAAGCCCCTAAACCCTAAAGACAGCCTGATATTGAACCTTAGCCCAGAGGGTCCATGTATACCACCATTAAGGAATAAGGTCCCCAAAACCCATCATTACTATGCTTTCGGGGACCTAACTCCATAATGGTCGTAGACATGGGCCCTCCAGGTTAAGCTCAAGCCTCAAGCCGTCCAAACACTTCAACCACTGACCTGGAAATCCATGGCCCTAAACCCAAAACCCAAATCCCTAAACCCAGCCTTAGGACCCGAAACCCTAAATCCCGAAACCCTAAACACTTGACTCTGCGGTCCAGTAGCCAGAAGCTTTGGGTCGATCCCACCATGGCTATCGCCTTGATGAGCATCGTGGATCGGATCGGTATGGGACGCTAAAGGGTCTTCGTCTCGAGGTCAGGGGTTTAGGGTTTAGGGTTTAGGGGTTAGCGTTTAGGGTTTAGGGTTCAGAGGATTCGGGATCGCTTGAGGTTTAGGGTTTAGGGTTAAACCCTAAACCCTAACCCCTAAACCCGAAACCCTAAACCCTAAACCTCTATAAACCCTAAACCCTGTTTAGGCTTGTGGGGTTTAGCTTCAGGCTTGGGTTTCTAGGCTTTCACTGGGGTCTTGCTCGCTTCCGGGTTGAGGTCCGCAGGCCTTCCGGGTCGCCTAAGCACCGGACTGCGACACCCTAAGCTCCAACATAGGGGCCGGTTTAGGGTTTAGGGGTTTAGGATTGAAGGCTTTAGGGGTCTAAGCTCCAACATGGGGGCCTTACCCATAGGCCCCATAGTAGTTCCTTTTTGGGGTTCATGTTTAGAAAACTATAAGGTAATCCCAAAAAGAGACTACTATGGGGCCTATGGGTATACCATAAGTCATGAAGGCAATATAGGTGCATTGCAGTATGAGCATGTAAGGGCTACAAGGGGATACTGCTGCAATGATCTGACCCCTAGTTTACGCCCTATGACTCCAACCTCTCCCGAAAGCAACAGAGCCCTGGACCCTGAAATACCGATAGCAATGCAACACCCTAAACCCTAAACCTATGATCTTTTACCTTACAGTCCGAGCTTTGACCGTCCCTAAAAAACTGAATAGCCCCAAGCCCTGAAACCCGAACGCCCCAATCCCTGAACCTAAACCCTGAAGCCCCTAGGGGTTTTGACGGTAGCTTTGTGCAAGCTGTAAGTACGCATACACACGAGTTCATATGGCTTTAGTTGGATCTAATCATCATCTGTCTGTCTGCCTGCCTGCCTGGCCGGTAGGTGTATACAAGTGTATGTAAGTGTGTATGTGTGTATNNTGTATGTATGTATATATGTAGGCATGTAATACAGTACGAGTGCATGTACGTGCGTACGTAGGTGTACGTATGTATCATGCATGCATGTGCATGTATGAATGTACTCATGTTTCTGTATGTGTACGAGTATGTGTACGTGTGCATGTGTGTGTATATG